GAGGAGGAGGGGGAGCAGCTTTTCTCGCCTCGGAGGAGGCGGGCGGCGGGACCAGGTGTCCCACCGCTCCAGTCCTCCAGGGCGAGAAAATCCCCGTTTGTAACTGCGGATCCGACATAAGTCGGATCCGCGTAACTCGGGGACTGCCTGTATCCTCCCTCCAAAAAACAGAATCCTAGAACTTTCCAGTTTATCTTAATTATTTAATTAAGAATTTGAAAAATCCCTCTGAATTTAGTATTACAAAAGATGGAGGCTCTACAGCTTCAGAAAGTGAAGTCATCCATTTACTGGCCAAAAACTTAAACAGGCAATATAAGCTTTCAGAGGCCTCCAATTATGCTATCTATCATATATAACAATTCCTGCTGACTTCAGTGGAAATCATGTGCATTCTTTTACTATCATCTAAGGGCCAAGGAACAACTGTTTCAGTGACATAGCAGGAGTATACTGAACTCACTTAAAAGCCCTTTAAAGGTAAAATATACTTCTGGTTCTAGAATGCATACCTATGTTAGACACTCAGAACTGATTAATTCCATCCTAAAGTTTCACAAGAATGTTACTATGAAAGAGATTGTATATAATAGCTCTAAAACATGTAAAGGATCAAGTTACATTTCAAACATGCAAGCAGACGTACAATACACTTTCTGGGTTCAGTGTAAGAGAAGAAAGCTTAGCTAAACAATTAAAATCCAAATAAATGTCAAAACAGCAATGAATACTCACTTACCTGATTTGTCTGGCTACTTAGATATGGCTCAAAGTCATCATCATTTACTGCATCCTTTTGATGAATCGAACCGTTTTGTACTGAAACTGAAAAGCAAGCTTGTATTAGGCACACTTTTAAAAACTGGTGTGTTGTCATTTTAATTCAAAACAAAAAAGTAGTTTAGTCTTTGTTTCTATTAAATTGTCACCTGTATAATAAAATGCCTGTTCTCCCATTTTCGGAAAAATAGGATATCTTGTATTGATTCAATTACCGGGACTTTGTTACATTTTAGCTCTCCAGAGTGTTTAAAAACCAGTACATGATACTCCTCTTTGTGAGAGGACACCATAAAGCCTATGCCATTGAATCAAATGAGATAGCATCTTGATGACAGATATATACATCCAGTATTAACAAAAGTACTGCAAGTTTCTCTTGAAAGATTTCATTTCAAGATAATCCTTTCTTGTTCTTAAAGAACTATATAGGTTATAAAATATCATTACAAGTGATCAGACAGGTTCTCTACCTTTTGTTTAATCCTACAGTACACTGGTGTATCAGTTTTAATGAATACTTAGATGACAGTTATCACTAGAAAGTAATCCAATGAAGAAACAACACCATCTTATAGCTCAGCTCAAGCTTTAAAATACTTGTTTAAAAAAGAAAAAAAATTGTTTCATAAACGACAGAGGTCTGATGGTTTCCAATTCTCACTTTTTTCTGTGAGAACAAAGCACCTGCAGACACACTCAGCTGGCAGTTTCATAATGCAGGAGTGTGTCACAGCAAACCATTTTTCCTGCAGTCATAAGGGAAAAATCCAAACAAATGAAGTCAGCATTATATCTGCAGAAAGCCTATACAATGAAGAACACACCAAACTGTCACGTCACAGTGCAGCCTATAACCCTACTCAACTGCTTAAGAGTTTAAGTGCTCCGTTTCTCAGAGCTTCACATTCATACTACTTTCGTCAAGGCGCTATTTTTACTTTTTGGGGGTGAAGGTGGAATCTGAATTTATTAATATAGCTGCTTTATTTTGAATGCAAGGTTATAAACTGTGTTATAAACTGTGTTTACTGAATACTTGCATTATGCTATACGTCAGCATTTCCCAAACTGTGGTCCGTGGCCCAGTACCAGTCCATGGAAAAAAAATACTGGGCCTCAGAAAAATATTTGCAAGAGAGCCCGCCTTGCTACCCTCAACCCCCAAGATCCAAGCTGTGCCGATGTTACCTCCCTCCTGGAACCATGGAGGTAGCACGGGCTTCCTGCGGGGTTTGGGGGGCAGTTCTGCACCTGCACACCAGGTCCTGGAAGTGCGCAGGCCGCTCTCCCCCTTACCCCAACAGCAGGTGCGGTTCCTAAAATACCAGTCCATCGCACGCTAGGGACTTTGTCCCCTAGCTGCCTTCCTGCATGCGGGGGAGTGGGTGGGGATCCAGGACTGTGCCAGCTCCGGCTGCTCGGGCGGCGCATGCTGCCGTAGTGAGCGGAGGAGCAAGATGCGCGCTGCCTGAGCGGTTGAGGCTGGCGTGGTCCAGGACTCCCCCGCGCAGGAAGGCATTAGGAGTGCAACAGACCAGCATGTCAGGTACCACGCTGCTGTTTGGGGGACGGGTGAATAGCCTGTGAGCTTCCTAGGCCTTCGCAGCTACAGGATCCCCAGGTAGCAGTCCCTGTCCCCTTCCCCTCCCCCCAGACCTCCACAAGCACCCTGTCCCCTGCCCCAGCACTCACTGGCACCCTTCCCCAGAACTCTGTCCCAGCACTCACAAGCACCGTTGGGGCCACATTAGTGAAGTTTGAGTGGTTTGGAGGGGTTGTGTTTGTGTGGCCACGACTGACTTTTCTGTGGGCTAAAGTTGGCACTGGGGGCTTGGGGAGGACCAAAGAAATTTATTTGCATATTCATAATTTGCTTAATGAATATGCAAATAAATGTTACTGGTCCTCCAAAACCTCGTGAATGGATTTACTGGTCCCCGGTGTCAAAAAGTTTGGGAACCCCTGCTATACGTTATACAAAAACATAGGTAGTCAAGTTCCATGACCTCAGAAAGTTTGCAACCTGAGGGCAAAATATTCTGGGAAACACACGACTGCTGCTGAGGAATAAATACATTTCCCAGTTCTTTTCAGCCATCAACAGCTTGAAACTAGCGCAAAATGAATGGTTCAACAAGTGGGTGGAAAGTTTATGCAAGTGAACTTCTTACCCACCCATTTTGGCTCCTACGTTTCTATCTGCAGCCATCTTAAGGTAACACTTGTAATGGTTAAAGAGGAGAAAGAAGCAGGAGCTGAGTCCCTGAATTGATGTTATAATACGCTTCTTCAACCCATTGAGAGATCCCCCTCCTCCCGCTCTAGGATAAGGTGGAAACAACACCTTCTTATTACCCAACCTCTCCCTCATAAATCCTCAATTATTTCCTCAATTTCATTTTTTTGTTATTACTAAACAAAATAAAATGTTATGACATTTCCAACACTCCAGAGCCTAATGCTTTCCTTGCTTTTTCTTCATCAGACAATCACTTGGGACTTCCATGAGAAGGGTGGGCAGACCTTTCACGGCACCCAACAGCTTCACAACACTAGCTCACAATACTTCACAACGCTTCTCCAAAGTTATACCCAAGGCCAGAGTTATGTCCCATTTCCCAGACAGGTAGCTACAGCTATCTAAAAGTCACCCTCCAGTGGACAGTAACTGGGACAAGTATCCCTTCTCATGATACCAATACTCCTTTCCAAGCAAACTGTTTTACGCAGCCTTGGCTGAGTACCATGCAAACAAAATATGGACCAAGCTTAGTACAATAGGTAACCGTCCACCCTCAAAGCTGTATGGGTGCTTTCCTAAAAACAAGCATTTTTATGATTTACCATGGACAGAGGAAGCAAAAGAAACAGGTTTTAAGGTGGTCACTTGGTGCACTATGAAAGAAGAAGTTCCAAGCATAAAGAATGGAATTTTTGTCAAGCTGAAGCCAGAAAGGAGAGCTTATTTACCTCTTTTGGCAAGAGCCTCTGAATAGCATATATATAGCCAGGAAACTAAGAAAGCCAAGAATTTACAGCTAATGTTTAGTGAAATTTTGCAAATTTTTCATATATTTTGTCATATGTAAAGCCTTGAGCTAAGAGATGTGTCTTGGGAACAAATAAGTATACTATTAGCTGGGCTAATGTGACTAAGGTTAATAAACAATAGCTGAAGTTCTGAAAAATAGTAAAACTACAACAGTTCCAAAAGGAGCTGACAATTCATATCCTCCAATAGAACTGCAGCAATAATACTGACCACATCTTTATTAGTCACAAGTGAAAGTGACAGCTAAGTTTCTCTTGTATTTCTTCATCAAGGGAGTCTAACACTTAACACTACAGTAGCTTATATAGACTGACAGTATGATACAACAGTCAAATATTTATGATCAATACTAAAGGGAGGCGAGGCGATAAGTGAGACAGATGTTCTGATATAGAAACATTTAAGTTTCATTTTTAAACTTAAGCAAAAACAAATATTTACCAAAATTTTCCCCAAAATGGATGGCGTGAACCACAGGTTAATAAAAAACTCTAAAACAGATACACTCCTGATTAGGGATGTAAAAATTTAACTGTTAACAGGTAAGCACTATCTTACTGGCAATCCCCCACCCATGAGGCACTGGGCAGTTAGCCAATTACACTTGTAGTTAAACATATTACAAAGGATTTTACATCCCTATTCCTGATTAAATCTAGTCTGTATATAACAAGAAAAGTTTGATAACCTATAGAGTACATTGCTTCTCATGTTTAAGCTCAGTTACATAAGACAGTAATCCACAAGTCTACACTATCAATGTCACCTAAAAGGAAGGGTTCATTGCCAGATCCTAGCTAAATGGTTTGGAAGACAATTCTCAGGTACAACTTTCTAAAGAAAAACATATGGATACACACAAATTCCTCAAAAAACTGTTCACAAATAGTTGGAGGAATAAGATATGTAATATGTCCAGGATGGAATCCTCCTGTTAAGAGCAATTCATTTATATCAAGTAATTTGCATAACATCTAGATCTAAGAGGAGCATTTGGTGGTTTCAGAGGTATTTTAAGGATAAATCAAACCACATACAACAGATTTATTTGGTCCATCAATTTGTAGTTCAGATTTATTTTTAAACGTGCTTGCCTTCTTACTGTTTGCACCTATACTCTAACCCATGATGGGGCCACATAGTTGTAGTTCTAATACATATTACAACTGTGATGTCCAGCCAGTTCTGAAGAAGTGGCAACAGCTATAGCAAACTAGCTACACTCAACTGGGCTAAATAGTCACATGTGGACACCACTGCATCAGAACATACAAACTGAGAAAAAAGTTTTTTGAAAAGAGCAATAATCAAATATTTTCATAAGAAAAGTCATCTTTTATGGGCTGATGCTCATTCCAACCAAGCACTCTGTCCAAGAGTTGACAAATGTAATGAACACCACTTTCAGAAAAAGATATTTTACTCATTTAGTTCTTGCAGCAACAGTTATATATTACTACTCTGGTACACATAACTCTTCCTATATATCTATTTCTGGCTGCCAAGAGTAGTGTTTTCCCTCAACAAAATGTCAGAAGAGAGAAATCTCACAAGACTACATAATATAGCTACTTTCACAATATTGTTAAAAGGAGTTTTACATTTGCAATGTAAACTGCACTCATGCTATACATTTGCTACTTAGTCTCATGCCTTACTGTACTACTTCCTTCCTTTTCCCATCTGCCAGAGATGCCCCCCACAACTACCTTCTTTTCCATTTTCTGCTATGTATAGAAATATACACACTCCGCAAACTAATTTGCCATCTCACTACTTTAACTTGCTTTAAAGATTACTTCAAGCAGAACCCTATCATGATCCTTCCAAGAGATAGCCAAGTAGTGACCACCAATCTCTACTTTATTAATACCCATGAAATACATAAAGTCTCTGAATGACTCAAAACCATCTAATTGTGCATAGAAACTGTTCTATATAAGTAAGCACTCCTACCATCATGATCTTCATTCTCTTTCCCCCTCCCTTAATCATCTGTCATATCTTGCCAGAGCTATTATGAGCAGGAACTGTCTTTTACTATATGTCTGCATAGTGCTGTATCTGATTGCATTAGTTACTCCCAGAGATCTCAAATCCTTTTCACTACCAACTAGTTATAAACAGTTAATATAATTTAACAGGATGCAATCTAAAATAGCCTATAACCAGTAATTTAAGCCCAACATTTAAATTTTGGAAAAAGGTTTTACTTAAGTTTTATATGCAGTATTAATAATAGATCACAAAATTATGCTAAAGTACATCAATCAATATAAAATTCACATTATTTTTATTAAATAATTGTAGGCAATCCATTCATCAAATTGTTTAAATTCTAATTTAAATACGGGCAATAAAGATCAAACAAAACACTGGATGAAACAAACTGACACAGATCTTTCAATAGCTTAGAAATACTGTAGTTTAAGGAGAAAACTGAAGGTAGAGACCTCTTGGCATAAAGAAATAAAAGGTAATTCCATTCACAGGGTAGCAAAGAAGAAAAGAGCAGAAAAGGAATGCAAAGCAATTAGGTAAAAGCCAGGCTTGAAGACAGTGTAATGAGTGCCAAGAGAATATGATAGAAGAAAAATGGAGGAAGGAATGGAGCTGTGCAGGGTTTTGACAGCCAAGGAGAGAGGATTTAGGAAGTAAAGTTTACTCAGTGTTTCACCACAGACACAGATTAAGAAGAAACATTTCCTGAGAGGTCAAAGTTGAGAAGGTAGATTTGGGAGACCCCTGCATGGAACTGTGCTGATCAAACTGTGGATAAGGACAATACCACCCAGCAAAAGAACCACTATGTATCAGGAGACTGAAAACAAAAATCTTAAAAACAGTGATCATTTATTTTATCAAGTAATAAACTAAACTAAGTGAGTAAGACATTCAATATAAATGCTCTTTGTTTTCATATTTTTGCAGGGAAGGAGAGGGGAATATTAAAAAAAAACCTGAGTTGAGTTTGCGGGAGAGGATAAGCTAGAAAAGTATGGAATTTAAAGTAAGGTGCTAACAGTAAGGGGAAGAAATGAAGACAGAGAAATCTAGATAACTGCTCAGAGGAATACTCTGTTCTGGATTCTCAAATGAACAAGACTCCAATTTTGAAGATTTCCCAGAATATGAGTGGTGATGAGTTCTGTTCATGTATATGAGTAAGAAACTAAATTAACACACAATCATCATTCTTTAGATCAAAAGACCCTCATTAGACATTAATAAGTAAATATGAATAGAGCTGATGTAAATGCCCAAAGATATCATGACAACATATTCACTGAAAGATAGCTAAATGGTAACAGCTCTCTCTTGATTATTCATGACAATTACTTCGCTCAGCAGATTAAAGAATTTTTACAACATACCATGTTTAAAATACTGGAAAAAAATATATTTAGGGATATAAAATTCCGGTTAAACATTAGGTCAACCCAACATTTAACCAGTTAACTGACTAAGTGAGATCTGAGCTAGGAACTACCCCAGCCCTAGTGGAGCTGCCTCCAGACGGCAGAGCTCCCCCTCACAGCCATGCACTTGGGCCACTGCCAGCTCCCAGCCCATTCCAGTGCAGCCACTAGCAGGGTACCTGGGCCACCCACAGACAGAGGGTACTCCAAATGAGAGCAGCCCCTGTCTGAGGCATGCCCCCTGTGGGACTGGAGAAGCTCTCTGCCCAGGGCAGCTGTGTAGCTGCTCCAGCTCCTACCAGTTACCAAACTAACAAGCATTATTCCTTTAGGGTGATGCTTACCAGTTAACTTTTCACAATCCTACTCTTAGTTCACCACTTCTAATCATGTTGCTATGATAAAATCAAGGTGGCGTAGTATTTAACAGAGGTAGCTTTTACCAGGTACAATTATGGTTTTTACTGCCCCAGGAAAAACTAGTTAGTCCCAGTATCTATTTTAAAACTGCTTCTTTAACATACACCACAATACACTTAGCCTGATTTACATATTTAAACTGTGATTACATAAGCAGTAAGGTTGGAAATCAGAATTGTACAAATAAGTAAAACTGCAGTGAGCATAATACTAATATATGGCAATATATAATACTGACCACTGGAATATCTGTATACTTTTTGGTTTGGTATTTTCTCAAGCAAGTGGTAAATCATGACTCACGTTTCCCTTTTCAATATTACATAAACAATACTCCAAAACATTTGATTATATGAAAACAACAACAATGTTGAGTGAATCATTAAGTAATCATAAGTATGCAGCATTTCAGACTAGCATTCCAGATCTATTGACCATGCAGCATTCTTTAGCAGAGAATCAACACTGATGCACGGGACAGACCGAACCCATTCTTCACCTTTGAATGAATGTAAAAGTTTAAAAAGATTGATTCTGTGTTTGCTGAACTTGCTGGACACTGAAGTAATTGGTTTTCCCAGTTTAGACCAAGAAACCAGGGTTAAACTAGTACTGACCAACATCCTGTCCTGAATTAATTTTTCCAAAGCCATTGCCAACCCTGAAAAAAATGTTTTTTTCTGAATATTTTCATTCACTTTATATAATTGGTTGATGTCATCTTTTTCATATATTACAGGACCAGGCCTCAGACATAAATAATAAAGAAAACATCTTACCTTTATTTCCCTGTCCTTTAGGTCTCTGTATATTAAAAGGTAGAAAATAAGAGGAGAAATATTAATTGGGAAATTAGCAAAATTAAAATCCTTTAATTTTCTATCCATGCTGGTTTATATTTGCTGATTTTATCCACTTAAAGGATCAACTTAAGCTACACCCAAAACTTAAAATATTTTAAAAACATATTTACACAAAATCCGATATAAACAGATATGTTTCCCTATCTAAGGTCTAGTGAAAAATGCATGGTTATTTTTAAATCAAAACCATTCTTCTGCAGTATTTGAAATCTAAATGATACAACACTATCTGCAAAGTAAATTGGTTTTGTTTTCACTTGTCTACTGTTCAAGATGAGAGAAGAGTACTAAACAAAATAAGTAAAATAAAATTTTAAAAACATTTTTCTTTTTAGTAGGCTAAGGCTACTGCAAATACAGATACTTGTATTCTTTTAAACTGGCACAAGGGAACTACTGTTACTGAAGAACAGACCAAAATTTATAACATGTAGTTCAGTGAAGCACATTTTATAGGTTTTTCAGCTATTTGAAGGAATGTACAGTAATAAGGCAACACATAGCGGACCGATCATTGGACAGGTGTAAGACAGTTATGTAAGCCCAGCCCAGTGCATGCGCATTTTCATAATAATAGTATCACAAAAATAGTATCACACAAGGGGGCTGTGAGGATTAGTAATTATAAAACACTTTTAATCTGTCAGGCAATAAGTACTATTATAACAGAGAAGGTCACAATATCTTAACATCTTGTAAAATAAGATTCTGTTTGGGGAAAACCACAACTACTAACTGAAAGTTCTAATGCTTCCACCACCCTTCCCCCTGGCACATGCATTTCATTAAGCTGCAGTGGATATTCCCTGTCTCCATCACCCTTTAATGACTCACTTGTTATTTATCCTCTCAATCCAGAAAAAAAGGAAAAAAGCCCCTTAACTCTTGAACAAAAAAACACCATATCCTAGCACAGACACAGCCACTCCATATACAGGGACCCAGAGGGAAACAAAAAGATGGTGGAGTTGTGGGCTAATGGCCCAAAAAGAGGATGGGAGGAAAGAAAGTGAAGGCACAAGAAAATAGGAATGAAGAAGAGAGAAACATGCTATTAAGAAGCAGTATGGCAGCCCTCAGAGGCAGAGGCGCACAGAAGAAACTAGGAACCATGCATAGAGCACAGATACAAAGAGGCAGACAAGATTGAGACAGTAGAGGCCAAAAAAGGGGGCAAAGGCCTAGAAATGATACAGCTGAACAGATAAGGATGCCACAAAGGCCCAATGAAGACAAGGTTGAGAAGGGACAGAGGCCCAGAGCAGGTAAATGCAGGAGACAAGGATAGGATATAAAGGGAAACCCACAAGAGAGAGTTTTGAGGAAAGGGAGAAGTCAGACCCAAAGAATAGGAAAAGGAGGAATAAGGACAGAAAGATGAAAAGGAGGCAGCATCAGAGACCCAAAAGGAATTTGTGGTGTACCAGGGAAGGCTGCAAAAGTGACCCAAAGTGTGGGTGGCTCAGAAGGGGAGTAGCAGAGAGCCAGATCCAAGGGTAAGGGGATTGCTGGGATACAGGAGAAAGACAGAGACCTAAAGACGACGTAGGGCCAGAGAGAGGGAGAAAAAGGAGACAGCAGCCCAGAGAAGAGGAATGAGGGAGGAAGCATCAAAAGACAAGGTGTTGGGGGGAGGAAGGCAGAGGCCCTGGGATGGGAAGTACAAAGAGGCTCGGAGCGGGAAAGGGAAGCAGGCGCGGCCCAGAGGCGGCTATGAACATGGGGCTTGGCTGCTGGATTCCCACGATGCTAAGCCCAGGCGGCGCGGAGCAGCGCTGCCAGCGGCGAGGATGAGGCCCAGGAAGCCGCACTGGCTGCTAGACGGCAGAAAGGGCCCGGCGGGATTCCGACCCTCCTGGCAGCGGCAGGCCCTCCCGCCTGAGGTACCTCCTCCTCCTCCTCCCGCCCTGCGCCCGGGCCGCCGCGGCCCGTACCTGGTCGACGCTGGTGGCTGACATTCTTCACGGGGAGCCGCGATCCCCTTTCGCTCTGCCTGGGCCTCGAGTGATTGCCGCACACAGACCGCGCCGCTCTCCCCGCTGCCGCTTGATTGTCGCCGCTGCTGCCGCCCGGGCTCGCCGCCGCTGATCGGGTTCCCGCTGGAAGGAGCCGGCCGGCCGGACGCAGCACTGCTTCCCCCCCCCCTGCTCTGGGCTCCGCTTCCCCACAATGGCGGACAAGCTCCGGCTCCCACTTCCGCTCCCGCCCTGACCTTCCGCTCCCCCTCCGCCGACGTCGCCGCTGACCTTTCCCTTCCTCTCTCCGCCTCCATGTCACGTGAGCATAGCAACCGTCCCGCGCGCGCACCATAACTAAAGACTGAAGGGGGGAGAGAGGAAGTGGCTCCGAGAGCGATTGCGTTTGCGCAATTAGGGGCCGGCTTCCTAGCTCTCGGAGAGGCGCATGCGCAAGAGGGGGGGACAGAGGCTAGTAGAGACTCGAGAGAGGCTGGAAGTTACCATTTCTTCTAATGCGCATGCTCGCAATTAGCTTTAAGGGACAGGCGCCAGGCGTCCAAGGCTGCGCATGCGCATGCGAGAAGCGTCTCCTTTCAAGGGGCTTGAGCCAGCTGTTTCCTGTCACTCGTGGAGCAGCCAGCCAGCCGTTCGTGGTGCCAGCCTGACACACTGATAAGCTGCGGGCTTCTTCCCTCCGCTGCGGCTGTTTGCTGCAGATCTGAATTATTCTTGGTGCAGCTCTAGAGGCTGCTAAAGAGGAAATGGGGGGGAAATGAAGGGGACAACTTAGCAAAACATCTGAACCTACTGTTGTCTTTATACATAAATACATGTGCCTAGTGGAGCAGGGGCATGATCTGGGCATGTGGTCCTGCGTCCCCCGTAACCTCTTGAGCTGTCCCCCTGTATGTGCACATAGTTAATGTTGATGGAAATCCTCTGTGCATCTGGTTAATGGTGTGACCTCAACATAATCATGTGTAACCCCACTGAGCAAACTTGCATCCTAGTAAGTGCATGTGCTGTAGCTGTGTTGTGTCTGTGTATCCTAGCAATGTGTGTGTAATTCCATGTAACAAAATATGATCCCCTCTTTCTGTGCACCTCGCTAATTCTACGTGTAATCATTGCACCTGGGTAACTGTGCAATTCGTTTCTGCCTGTGTCTTATGTAATTTTGTGTTCAGAACCCATGCATCTGCATCCAAGTAATAGTAATATGTGCAGATGTATGGGTACTAAACACATAATTACATAGACACATTCACCCAAGTAACGTGCACAGACATTGTGTACATTCCTGTATACATTCATATATTGCTTCTGAAATTTAGATCCAAACGTTTTGAAAATAGCCTCTTTATGCATTTTCCTTAGTAATGGATTTTGATTCTGACCTGTATAATGTGAACCACAGGTAGTCATGCTTCTAATTGACCCATGCAGTTTTGAAGCAGTTTGTCCAATGATATTAGACAGCCAAGACAGGTAAGGCAATATCTTTTATTGCATCTGCTAAGCCCAATAAAAGATAGTCTCACCTACACTCTTAGAGAGCGCTCTTGGCTCTTTAAGAGTGCATCTACACATCAGCTTGAATAAAGCTATGCAATTTGAGCTACACAATTTGTGTAGCTTATTTCGAAATAGACTGTTATTCCAACAAGTCCCTTAATCCTCATAGAACAAGGTTTACCAAGACATTGGAATAGCAAGTCCATTATTCCAATTCCATTTTGAAATAATGGGCATAAGAACATAAAAGAACATAAGAACGGCAGTACTGGGTCAGACCAAAGGTCCATCTAGCCCAGTATCCTGTCTGCCGACAGTGACCAGCACCAGGTGCCCCAGAGAGGGTGGACTGAAGACAATGATCAAGCGATTTGTCTCCTGCCATCCCTCTCCAGCCTCTGACAAACAGAGGCCAAGGACACCAATTTATCCCCTGGCTAATATGGACCTAACCTCCTTTTATGGACCTAATCTCCATGAAATTATCTAGCTTCTCTTTAAACTCTATTATAGTCCTATATAGCCTTCACAGCCTCCTCTGGCAAGGAGTTCCACAGGTTGATTACACGCTGGAGTCCCTCACAGTCTGCTTCTGTCTTAACTATCCTAAACATACTGTTAAGATGCAGAAAACACTATTTTGGATATCCAAAATAGCACCAGTGTCTAAATTTACCAAAGTGAGCTACACAACTTGAAGAAATTATAGATTTTACTGCGATGCACCATCTGCATCAAAATAGCCTCATTGGCTAATCATGCCAACTGTTATTTTATCAAGAGTATTACAATATTGGTGTTTTTCTTAAACCCCCAGCTCCTGGAATCATGTTATTACATGAAAATTATCAACTTCTATTAAAAAAACAACTTACAATTGTGGATAAAGGCTCAAAAAGAAGGAAACAAAAGTCTCAGAAGTAAATGTCAAACAAGAGGATCCCACATTTACTGTTTTTATTTTAAGCTAATGTAGTGTGACTCCACCCTAGGTCCCACCTCTATTTCTCCCCTCCCCCCGTTCTGCCCCTCCCCACCTTTTCTTCACCCTTGCTCTGCCATCACCCTGACTCTTCCCCCTCCCCTGAGCAGCCCAGGGGACTAGTGGGGCTGAGGAGCCGGTGCCAGCAGCAGGAGTCCACCCCACACACATCTATGCAGTGGCAAGGCAAGCAAAGCAACACAGCCCCAGCTCACTTTGTTCCGCCAGCTGCATCACTCCACTTCCTGGTGAGTGTGGACCCGGCTTCCTAAGCAACACAGCTGGAGGAGTGCAGAAAGCTGGGGCAGTTGCTCTGCATACCCTGCCATACCCTGCCACTGCTGGTGAGTAGAAAGTGGGATGAGTTCCTTGTGGGCAATAGATCCTGTCGCCCCTCCCCTGACTAGTCTTCCTGCTGGCTGTTGGCTCCCCTCTACCCCTTCTCCCCCGCCCATGTGTTTGGAGCATGTGACTTATCATGTTCCCTCACATGTTGCATATGTCCTCTGTGGCCGTTCTTATTTTAGAAATATCTGTCTCTGAATCCATTTGTTCAAGAACTTCACCTAAATGGTGAAAGCTAGGACCACCAAATTTGATATGCAGCTTCCTTTTATCATAACTTAAAGCAAGGTAAGGGTTTGGTTGTGCCAAGGTGCCTGGAATTTGATTGTTTCTCATAAAATGGAAAGGGAGGGGTCTGGGAGGAGGGAGATATATTGTAGAATGACCACGGGGCAGCAAGTGGCTAGTGATGGGGACCCGGAGAGCTATAACTTCATTGGACCAGCAGGGGCATATTTCAAAGAGTTTGTCTGTTTGTATGTCTGTTTGTCAGTGTGTCCCTCAAGCAGGTGACATGCACCCCGCTCTGCTGTGCCTGCATAGCTGCAGCAGTCATGAATAAGTAGCAGTGGTGAGAGAAGACTGGGGCTGTCCTGAGGCAGCCTGCATACCAGAACAATGATTTAAATGAAGAAAAAGAATTAGTCTGTAATATAATAGGTCAAGCTGGAGCATTAGGCTTTCTCGAGATTTTTTCAGCTATGTATGGTTTTTGTTTGAAGTCATTAGACCTATGTGTAAACTCATTTTTCTACATCACTAATTATTTCATCAAGAAAATTGACTTCACATGTAATGTGAACTATTATTTTTTTATTCCAATATATACCCATATTATACTGTAGAGCAGTGGTCCCCAACCTTTTTGTGTGGCGGACACCGCACCGGTGGGTGATGCCATCCCGCTGCATCGCCCGGCCGGCCGGCCCTGTGCCAAGTGCACCTGCGCCAGACCCCCCACCGTGGCCATTTCGCCACTCTGGACCAGCCGCCCTGCTCAGTACAAGAAACAGTACCTCCCAAGTGCACAAAACAAAGTTGTTATTAAAGAGATAATAAACAGGTCTCTATAAAACACCACAGTTAAATTACATAAAAAAAATACCTTGAGCGGTATCCTCAGAGTTTGATTTTTGCCATTCTACATTTGTAACTGGATATCATCTTAAATTCCTATCTTTCTTCCCTCTGTAATCTTAATAAAAGCAATTGGAAGCCTTTAACACTGTAAACAAGTTAGGAAAATATACATTTTTATATATATACATTGTCTTTCAAATGTCTGCCGTTCTATTGATTTTTGTTGGGATAGCTTGATAAAGGTTAGGCACTCATCTTTTCTGCTCAATGAGGGTATCTTGCGCTGTGATTGTGAACGCTTGGAGGTTCGCATTGTCTAAAGTGGACCAAACGTGATTATTCTGGTCGTCTACCATTTTACAAGTTGGCATTATTCTCAAAGCTCTTCTGGACGAAAAGTTCCCTTGTCTGCTTTCCTCACATTTACGCAGTAAAATATTTAGTTGTTCTTGTGTGAGTTTTTCCTCTCAAAGATTATTTAAAATTTTGATAAATGTTTCATCCCCTCGCTGTCGCATGTTTTCAGTCAATTCACAAAAGCTAAAGAGGCACCAGAGCTGTACAGGGGGTCTCATTGAAACAGGTTGCTTATAAATGGGACTGCTTCATACTGATGGAAGTTGAAGGAGATCACCGAAGAGCAAGATGTTCAAACCTCCCAAAAGTTCATCAACATCAATCAAATATTTGTTTGCAGAAATTATTGTAACCTATTGCTTTTTCTTCTGGATCTTGATCTGGCAGATTTTCTGTTCCTTGTTAGTCTTCCTCTGGGGCTTCCTCAGAGTTTTGAATGTCTCTGTTTTGCAGTCTTACAACTTTGAATCGAAGGTCAGGCTTTCTTGTGTTAACATAAATGATTCTTGTGCTCCCTTTCATAGGCAGTCCACACAGATGGAAAGTACACTCACAGGCGGAGACTTGGCATTGAGTTAACATTGCCATACATATTTTAAACATGTGAGAAATGTTGCTTTCCTCCTCTCTGATTTGAACAAAGTGTATGAGGCTTCTTTCAAGACTCGTAGGTTCAATTGATCTAATAGGCGATGGCAATAGCAACTGCACACGGTTGAATGTCCATGTTTACATGCCAGTGCCTTAAGATCGAACCTTCTTGAAGCCTCTGGAAATCGAACTTTCCAGAGGCCCTTCCAACCCTTGCAATACAAATACAATGCACACAAATACAGTGTGGGTGGGTGGTGGCGGCGGCTTTACTAGTCCAGAAGTCAATTACACCCTTAAAAGCTTTCAAAGAGAAGAAACTATACATAGGAATGATAAGATTTACCTAGAACAGCA